TGACACTCAAAATGCATCCAGAAAGGTTTATTCTATAAAAGTGTTTTTCATTTCACCAATATTCTCCATTTAACAGAAACTGCACATCTCTGAGATCGTTAAACATGTTTTTTGGGTTGGTTTGCTTGTTATCAACCATTTTTCAAACAACCATATTCCAGATGTGCTCTAGTACATCTTTCTTTTTCTGGGGTGAAGTGAGATCTTGTCCAGATGCATATATATTCTCTAAGTTTTGTCTTTACCTATCAGGTAGTTAGAATACTGGAAGCATCAAATTAAAATCTGCTAATTATATCAGGATCCCTACCTAATTCTTATTCTCCTTGCACTTCACCTGAATTATTGTTATTGTGCTCACCTTCTTCAGTTTTTCCTCCTTATTCTGAACTATTCTACACCCTTTAACCACCTTAAAATATGCCTTTCATCCTGCTGTTTCCCTGTACAAGAGCTTTGGCCCTTTCGTATCTACTCTATTCCAAGAACCCTATCATGCTGGACTCAAGGCTTTTCATGACTTCTCCACACTTAATTCCCACTTCACTCCTCCAAGACAATGCAGCAGCCAAATTGAACTATTTTCTTTTTCTGTTTTACTCTCAAGAACCTTGGCTAATAGATTTCATTTCTGGTACTGACTGCCTCTTTCTATGTATGGATTCCTGATCATCCTTTGTTCCCAGTCAAATTACCTCCTCCATCATTACCTAACATATTTCCCAATGCTACTCCTCACCATTCCTCTTCACTAGCTCCTGCTCCAGATCAAAAGTCATCCCTCTTCCACTGAATTCCCAAACTATTCCTCTTTTTTTAACAACTTATCACTTTCTACAGTATACTGCTGTATGTTTATATATGCCTATTTCCCTAAAACAAAACAAAAACACAGAACCAGACCTAAAAGCAGTTAAAGCGCTAGAGTTGAAATTTTGCTTGTCTTTGCCTCCCCGCATGGTGTCTCATAATATTTAACTTTAAGCTCTATTGTTATATTCTACTAATAATTACCTATGTGACCTTGAGCAGGTCACTTGAACTGTCTGAGTCTGTTCATACATAAATGAATGTTTAAATTTAATACTTTCATTGAGACAATTTAAATTACAAATTCTCAGGACCACACAGGAAGACATGAAAGCATAGACCAAAATAAAGATTTCTCTATAACCTCTACAAAACCTCTTTCCAATGATAATTTCTGGCAATTTTTTTTCTTAATTATTTGGATCTATTTAGAATGGGATGTTCACATACATTTTTGGTCTCACTGCTAGTGAAATACTAGTAATGTATCAACTTTTGATTGGTGTGGCATTATTGTTATTAACAATATTATTTGCTTTGGGAGAGAATCATTCATTCAATGAATAGTTTTAAATACTTATTAACCAAGTATTTTTCCAAGTTTTATGGGCTCTCATGGCCCTTTTCCATTTTAGTGAGTGGAAGTGGGAAGGGAAGAAAAGCTGATGTAATTAAGAAAGATTTTTGTTTCCTATTTTAACTCTTGTACAGAATCTCTCTTTCTCTTGCCTTATTAGTAGAACATGCCAGTTTAAGAGCACCTATGTCATGATCAGACTCAGACTCTCCCATGATTAATATTTCCTTAAAGTAAAAGAGAAATGCTATTTTTTCCATTAGTCCAGATACTAGAAGGGGGTGAGTGTGAAGTGCTCCCACTCAGTCCCTCTAAAGATAATACACTGGAAACATTTTGGTGGGTGTGAATCACTCAGACAAGCATTCTTCACTCAAAAATAGAAACTTGTCTTATTTGTTCCAGATGTTCTACAGCTGCAGGGAAGTTAAAACCAGTGGTCCTGTTTTTCAATGCAACCAAACTCTTATTGCATTTGGAATTTCTTAACCAATGAACTCATATTACTTGTTCTAAGACCTGCAGAATTTTCTTTTTTCCATGTTACCATTCACAAACAACTGTTTCATGGGAACTATACTTCAGAATTAGGGAGTCTGCGTCTGCGTTGTACAAAGGAAACACATCCTGTTTACCATTATTTCCACCTTTCATTTATCTTGACCTCTTTAATTTTAAACATAAAATCTTCAAAGGGAACACTTGAAGAAAAAGAAAAGGAGGGTTGGGTTGTATTGTTCTCATAATATTTTACAGTACTCCAACAGTTGGAGTTATAAGAAGATGTTTGTTTTAGGAAGAATTTTTGGCAAAATTATTTTTAAAAATGAGTATAGAAATGTGATTCTTCACACTTGCAGTTATTAAAAAATAGACATTTGAGATTATTTCTTTTTCCAATAGGTCCATAAAAAATGTATCGGATGCATAAAATTCAAAAAAAAACAATCAGAGATCTTTGAAGAGGGTAAATAAGAACTTATGTGAGAAAAGCACATGCTAATTTTATATTAGTCCACAAAAGTTAAAATCTAGAAATGTTAGTTTACTTATATTTGAGAACAGAGTGCCAGATTTCTGAAAGTTATTGTCTTCTTATGGAGAAGGTAACCTTAAGTTGCAGTTCATAGACAATTTGTAGCAAAATCACAATAATTTCATGTTAAAGTATGTACTTCAGGGCTCATTTGAGACTAAATCTTTGAAAATTGAGCCTGGTACATTAGAAGGACTCCAGAAACCAGAAAAGCCAAAAACCAAACCAATGAAAGAAACAAACAAATAAATGAATCCTTATCTTCCAGTTGTGAACATTTTTTAAAAACCCATGAATGTGAAGTGAACTTAACAAGGCCATGCAAACAATTAATAGTAGTAAGTTAAGGCCTAAAAATATGTTTTCTAATGCTGAGACTAGAATTTCTTTCCAGAAAGGCTGTCTTTAATTTTTATTTTCAAAAATAACAAAATTAAAGTAAAATTTAAAAACTATCATGAATACAATTTTAAAAAAATATCCAAATAGCCTCAGGTGTCTGACCGAATAATTGTTTACTCTTGTTACTCATTAACAAAAACCTTGTTTTTTCTCTAAGATTTAGAAAAATTTTCCTTCAAATTCAACTTACTTTCTTCCAGAAAAAAGAGGAAATGTTACATTTTAGGCATTGTTAACATAATCTTTGAGACGTCATGATTATTTTGAAAGCGATCATTTTAATTAAATTACTTGAATCATACTCAAGTAATAGTTTGTATTTAGTAATGGTTCCCCACAGTTCACAAAAATTACTATTCAGGACATACATGCTTCACATATGCCATTAGTTAAAACTGAGCCTAAAGTAGAGTAAGTATGATGTCATTCAAAACTGATTCAAAGCTGTTTCACACACCTTAATGAGGCAACTAATAATTTTAAACTTCTTATTGTATTTAGTTTAGCTTTAAAAAGGAAACTAATTTGTGAATGCTATTTATTAAGTTTTCTGTACTTGCCCCAACTGATCACAGATTTAAACCTATAAGCAAAGAGGTACTACTAGAGAGAAGGTGTATTGATAAACTTTTTTGGTATTCATTGATTCATAATAAATGTGATCAGGGAGATTTCCTGATTTAGGACTTTATTTTACCAATGAGTAAACCTGAGACTGAAAATGATCTGTGTTCTTTCAAAGGAGATAGCATTGGGTCGGCAGCTGCTAGTTGTCCATCCAAACCTCTTCCCTTCCCGTTCCAGAACTCCTGCTTTTTAGCTGGCTGCATGACTACCTGAAGAAAGGTTATACTTCCCAATCATGCATATCACTGGACATGGCCATATGGCTAAGCTCATGCAATGGAACATGAAAATGTTTGTGTGGTAGCTTTTGGGGAAAGCTTAAAAGGCAGGAAGGGCATGTCTTTTGCATCTTCTTGCCTTGCCCTGTGTGTTCCTTTTGGAATGTGGTTGTTTTGGCTGGAAATCTATTTGGCTTCTGAGAATGAAGGCCACCCTGATCCAGATGATCTTGGATCTGCCATCCCAACCTTGGATGCTACTATCTAGATTCCCATATGAGAGAGAAGGAAGCTTCTATCATGTTTAAATGGCTATCTTGGGATTTATGATACTTGCAGCTGAATCTGCAGCAGTAATCTGTTGAATTGCAGACAATAACCTATTTCTTGGTATAGAATTTCATTCACTCTTTGGACTCAATTATTGAGCACATTTTATGTGCCAGGAATTGTACTAAGAGGATATGAAACAAAGATTTTTATTATTATTTTTTTAAAATTTGAATCTCTAAAAGCTTTGGAAAAAGATTTGAGAACCCAAATCCCCCTTTCCTTTGGCCCATCTTTGCCTCTATCCTGTGTATATCACAAAATTCTTATTTTCTTCACTTTAAAAGGAATATTTTCCTGTCTGGATTTTAGACTGATCTTGTCATTTGAAAGTGAATAGTATATTTTTCAAAAGTTAAGAAAACCCCCAAACACATAAACAAACCAAGCACATAATGATTCAACTTTTCATCCCTAGACATACGACAGGTCATGATACAAAGTTCCGATAGAATTGCAGTCTTTGAAAGTATGTAAAATGTAAATATATTTCCCTAAATAAATTCAAAATATCTTGGGTCATATATTAAAATAATAATAAGTCAACACTTAGAAATATACTAATGGCATATTTATATTCAGTATTAGTTACATATACTGAGAGATATTAGAATGTCGGGTACAATTGTGAAGTGAGAGTCCCTCTTCCCTAAATAACTCACCTCCCCACTAAGAGCAAAAAATGACCAGTCATCTCCAGATTAAACAGATACAATGACCATTGGCTCCCTAATCTAATCCTGCTGCAAGACATGAACTGTTCCTACTCTTAAGGTCTAGGTAGATTCCTCACAAATTCTTTCTTATTAATTTCTGATAATTTATTAAGCTTTGGAGGTTTTCTTTAAAAAAAATTAAAAGAGAATAAGCTCTATGTTTCAAAGGAGATTTTGTTTATGATCTAAAAATACTCCAGGGTGTCAAATATGTAATAGATTTTTTAATTATAATAAAAATACAATAAAATCTGAAGAGATATATAAATGTAAATCAGAATTACCTTTGGGTCCACGTTGAGAATTTTTCTATCTCTTTTATATTTGAAAAGTAAGCCTTCTGGATTGTCAGCAATCACTTGATAATTGGGAGTGGAGTTACAAACAGCAGTGTGACTGTCCCAGTTGTAAAAACTACAAAAATAAACATTTATTAGGAGTTAAGATGTGTAATACATTAACAAGTGTATTTCAGAGAATATTTTGGATAATTTGGTGTCAAGATAAAGGAATAGGGACAGTATGTACAACCATGTAGAACACATCTGAGATTCAAATTCTTACAGAAGAGATTAGATATATTTATAATGATTTTGCATGATTTCCTGGTTTGGACACTAAGATCTAGGACCTATTCCAGTATTAAATTCTCAGGAAGTCAAAAAGAAAATTGATGCAATTTAAGGTTATTTATTCCATTGTAGACTTGTCAGGGTAGAAAGAATCTGTTTGCTGGAAGGAAAAGCAGGCTAAGTCACTTCTTTTCATTTGAAATCATTTCAAATGAATTTCTTCCTTCAGACTTTCTTTTTCAATATGTTTCCCAGGGAGCAGGAGAACTATATATGTTTGAGTGGTTATCATAGGGAAGACATGATGTGATGTATTGTAACACAACAGCCCTGTGAAATTGCTCATTTCACAGACAAGGTAAGGAGATGAAGCCAGGTCAACTAGCAAGGTTAAGGTCTCGCAACTTATATATCATGTGGATAATATTTCAATCCAAATCTGAAATCTCAGTGTTTCAAAGCATACATGTGCTCTTTCAATTATTCAACATTTCTGTGTAGCATTTTTCCTTTATAAAAAAAATCTTCTATGGAAACTTCCTATTTTTCCACATGTTGTTTTGTACTTACTTGTCAAAACTGAATACAATGCTGTCATTTGAATTAGTAGAATCATCAATGTACTTTTAAAAAATATCTTATTCTTAGTAACATTTCTTTTTTATATTCTTTAAATATATTATTAAATGATTTTAAGTATTTTTACACGTAAAATGTTAAAAAATGATGAAATTTTAACATTTAGAATTAGATGAACATTAAAAAGTAAGAAATATATACCTCTGGGATCTTTTTTAGAAAGTAATTGTTACATTATTACATATTTCCTTCTATTATGCATCAGTTTTTTTCTATATCTCATAAATGTATTTTTTATGTCAAGTGATTTTTCTATATACATTATGGATCAAAACAATTACTTTTCTCTTATGCTAAATACCATGAATTAATAATGATAATGTTGAACTATATTACAGAATGAACTCATGAGCTTAAAAAACAAATAGCAGCTGTCTCTGCAGAAACTAAAGTAATGGAGAGGCAAATTTATCAGGAGGATGCTGCCATAGAGAATTCCAGACTTCAGTGTGGAACCATGGAATCTCAAAACAAGTCCTTATATACCAACAATGTGAAGCTTAAGTTTGATATCAAAATCTCCCAAGAAAATTTTCAGGAGCACATGATAAAATATAAGATTTATTATGCAAAAATAAAAGCACATAAAGATATTTTGGGGGAGATAGAAAGCCAATGGTCATTTATGATTGAACTCTGTGAAAAACAAGATCTAGTTAAAAAACTAAAGACAATGAAAGAGGAACTTATGCAAGATCTCCAAAATCTAGGAGGGAACCAAATGACACAAGTACATGTTTGAACTGTTACTTATCAAAACTAGTTGTTATCTAACTCATGTACTTATTGAAGTACTTGAAAATTGTGAAAATAGTTTCTGAAGGTTAATAGAGAGCATTTTACTAACTTAATAATAAATGTATTATTTAATATATTCTTTTTTTTAATTGTTATTGTTGGTTGTTCAAAACATTACATAGTTCTTGATATATCATATTTCACACTTTGATTCAAGTGGGTTATGAACTCCCATTTTTACCCCATATACAGATTGCAGAATCACATCAGTTACACATCCATTGATTTACATATTGCCATACTAGTGTCCGTTGTATTCTGCTGCCTTTCCTATCCTCTACTATCCCCCCTCCCCTCCCCTCCCCTCCCCTCATCTCTCTCTAGCCCCTCTACTGTCATTCATTTCTCCCCCTTGTATTATTTTTCCCTTTCCCCTCACTTCCTCTTGTATGTAATTTTGTATAACCCTGAGGGTCTCCTTCCATTTCCATGCAATTTCCCTTCTCTATCCCTTTCCCTCCCACCTCTCATCCCTGTTTAATGTTAATCTTCTTCTCATGCTCTTCATCCCTACTCTGTTCTTAGTTACTCTCCTTATATTAAAGAAGACATTTGGCATTTGTTTTTTAGGGATTGGCTAGCTTCACTTAGCATAATCTGCTCTAATGCCATCCATTTCCCTGCAAATTCTATGATTTTGTCATTTTTTAATGCAGAGTAATACTTCATTGTGTATAAATGCCACATTTTTTTTTTATCCATTTGTCTATTGAAGGGCATCTAGGTTGGTTCCACAGTCTTGCTATTGTGAATTGTGCTGCTATGAACATCGATGTAGCATCCCTGTAGCATGCTCTTTTTAGGTCTTTAGGGAATAGACCGAGAAGGGGAATAGCTGGGTCAAATGGTGGTTCCATTCCCAGCTTTCCAAGAAATCTCCATACTGCTTTCCAAATTGGCTGCACCAATTTGCAATCCCACCAGCAATGTACAAGTGTACCCTTTTCCCCACATCCTCGCCAGCACTTGTTGTTTGACTTCATAATGGCTGCCAATCTTACTGGAGTGAGATGGTAACTTAGGGTGGTTTTGATTTGCATTTCTCTGACTGCTAGAGATGGTGAGCATTTTTTCATGTACTTGTTGATTGATTGTATGTCCTCCTCTGAGAAGTGTCTGTTCAGGTCCTTGGCCCATTTGTTGATTGGGTTGTTTGTTCTCTTATTGTCTAATTTTTTGAGTTCTTTGTATACTCTGGATATCAGGGCTCTATCTGAAGTGTGAGGAGTAAAGATTTGTTCCCAGGGTGTAGGCTCCCTATTTACCTCTCTTATTGTTTCTTTTGCTGAGAAAAAACGTTTTAGTTTGAGTAAGTCCCATTTGGTGATTCTAGTTATTAACTCTTGTGCTACGGGTGTCCTATTGAGGAATTTGGAGCCCGACCCCACAGTATGTAGATCATAGCCAACTTTTTCTTCTATCAGACGGCGTGTCTCTGATTTGATATCAAGCTCTTTGATCCATTTTGAGTTAACTTTTGTGCATGGCGAGAGAAAGGGATTCAGTTTCATTTTGTCGCATATGGATTTCCAGTTTTCCCAGCACCATTTGTTGAAGATGCTATCCTTCCTCCATTGCATGCTTTTAGCCCCTTTATCAAATATAAGATAGTTGTAGTTTTGTGGATTGGTTTCTGTGTCCTCTATTCTGTACCATTGGTCCACCTGCCTGTTTTGGTACCAGTACCATGCTGTTTTTGTTAATATTCCTCTGTAGTATAGTTTGAAGTCTGGTATCGCTATACCGCCTGATTCACACTTCCTGCTTAGCATTGTTTTTGCTATTCTGTGTCTTTTATTTTTCCATATGAATTTCATGATTGCTTTCTCTATTTATACAAGAAATGCCGTTGGGATTTTGATTGGCATTGCATTAAACCTATAGAGAACTTTTGGTAATATCGCCATTTTGATGATGTTAGTTCTGCCTATCCATGAACAGGGTATATTTTTCCATCTTCTAAGATCTTCTTCTATTTCTCTCTTTAGGGTTCTGTAGTTTTCATTGTATAAGTCTTTCACCTCTTTTATTAGGTTGATTCCCAAGTATTTTTATTTTTTTGAGGATATTGTGAATGGAGTGGTTGTACTCATTTCCATTTCAGAGGATTTGTCGCTGATATACAGGAATGCCTTTGATTTATGCGTGTTGATTTTATATCCTGCCACTTTGCTGAATTCATTTATTAGCTCTAATAGTTTCTTTGTAGACCCTTTTGGGTCTGCTAGGTATAGAATCATGTCACATGCAAATAGTGATAATTTAAGTTCTTCTTTTCCTATTTTTATGCCTTTAATTTCTTTCGTCTGTCTAATTGCTCTGGCCAGTGTTTCGAGAACTATGTTGAACAGAAGTGGAGAGAAAGGGCATCCCTGTCTTGTTCCAGATTGTAGAGGGAATGCCTTCAGTTTTTCTCCATTCAGAATGATGCTAGCCTGAGGCTTAGCATAGATTGCTTTTACAATATTGAGGTATGTTCCTGTTATCCCTAGTTTTTCTAGAGTTTTGAACATAAAGGGATGCCGTACTTTGTCGAATGCTTTTTCCGCATCTATCGAGATGATCATATGGTTCTTATTTTTAAGTCTATTGATGTGGTGAATAACATTTATTGATTTCCGTATATTGAACCAGCCTTGCATCCCAGGGATGAATCCTACTTGATCATGGTGCACAATTTTTTGGATAAGTTTTTGTATCCGATTCGCCAGAATTTTATTGAGGATTTTTGCATCTAGGTTCATTAGAGATATTGGTCTGTAGTTTTCTTTCTTTGAAGTGTCTTTGTCTGGTTTAGGTATCAGGGTGATGTTGGCCTCATAGAATGAATTTGGAAGTTCTGCCTCTTTTTCTATTTCCTGAAGTAGCTTGAAAAGTATTGGTATTAGTTCTTCTTTAAAGGTTTTGTAAAACTGTGCTCTATACCCATCCGGTCCTGGGCTTTTCTTAGTTGGTAGTCTTTTTATGGTTTCTTCTATTTCCTCAATTGATATTGGTCTGTTTAGGTTGTCTATATCCTCCTGACTCAATCTGGGCAGATCATATGACTTAAGAAATTTATCTATGCCTTCACTATCTTCTAATTTATTGGAGTATAAGGATTCAAAATAGTTTTTGATTATCTTCTGTATTTCTGAAGTGTCTGTTGTGATATTGCCTTTTTCATCCCGTATGCTAGTAATTTGAGTTCTCTCTCTTCTTCTCTTCACTAGCATGGCTAAGGGTCTGTCGATTTTGTTTATTTTTTCAAAGAACCAACTTTTAGTTTTGTCAATTTTGTCAATTGTTTCTTTTGTTTCGATTTCATTAATTTCAGCTCTGATTTTAATTATTTCTTGCCTTCTACTTCTTTTGCTGTTGTTTTGCTCTTCTTTTTCAAGGATTTTGAGATGAAGTATGAGATCA